CTGTAAGTCTTTTTTATTTATTTATTTATTTACTTGTTTGTTTTTATTCCCATTTTTTTGTTTGTTTGTTTCATTAGGTACTTACCTTTCCTATCTAGATTAGAAACAATGTATGTGTGCGTGTAATCTGCACTGGATGTTCATTGCATTGTTCACTCTAGCAAATCCTCTAGCTTTTTAATCATACAATCATTAAAAATAGTTTTGCGATTTCTTTTATTTATGCAATGCCTTGTATTTCTTTATTTATCTATCTATTCATTTATTCATTTATTTATTGTTATCTTTTCTACAGCCTACTTTTCCTCCAAGGGCAAGGCGTATTGCGTAAAGGAAGAGCGTAATCATGTTTATCGAAATAAGACACGAAAAGAAATGAAAATGAGGATAAATAAGTAGGAATGGTAAATAAACAGGGAAAACAGATGATTTGAGATCGATGACAAACTTTCATAAGCAAAGATTGGCTTAGTCAAAGGGAAACGTAATTATGAGCAAATGGATACAAAAAAGTAACTGCGTATAAAGCGTTTCTCTTTTTCTTTCGCTCTTTGTCTCTCTCTCTCTCTTTCTTTCATTCTTTGGCTCTTTGCCTCTCTCTCTCTCTCTCTCTCTCTCTCTCTCTCTCTCTCTCTCTCTCTCTCTCTCTCTCTCTCTCTCTCTCTCTCTCTCTCTCTCTCTCTCTCTCCTTCTCTCTCTCTCTCTCTCTCTCTCCCCCCCTCTCTCTCTCTTTCTCTTTCTCTTTCTCTTTCTCTTTCTCTTTCTCTTTCTCTTTCTCTTTCCCTCTCTCTTTCTCTCTCTAATTAAAAGCAAAAGCAGAAAACATTGATACAAAAACATTAGCGATAACCGTCCGATAAACATGCAAGCAATTACGTAATCTCGTTCACGCTCATATACTCTCTCTCTCTCACACACACACACACACACACACACACACACACATACACACATCCCCGCCCCACACACACATACATTCCCTCTCACACTCACACACCCTTCCTCACGCACCCCCCAAAACACACTCGCACGCACGCACGCCACGCACGCCACGCACGCACGCACGCCACGCACGAGACTCGGCGACTGGCCTTGTTTGGGTGTCCGACTGGCAGATCCCTCCCAGACAACATCCGGGAACTGGAAACTGATACCCTCCTCCACGGCAGCACTTTCCAAAACGGCGTAAGCTCCGCGCATCCCCTCACGCCAATATTTCATAGAGGGCATCCTCCCACTCCAAACGGTCGCCATAGTTACCGTTGTGTTTCGTGGACTGGAGAGAGTTGGAGGGAGAGAGGGAGGGAGAGAGGGAGGGGGAGACGGAGGGAGGGAGAAAGGGAGAGAGGGAGGGAGGGACGGAGGGAGGGAGAAAGGGAGGGAGAGAGGGAGGGGGATGGATAATGGGAGGTTGGGTTGGGAGGGAAGGGAGTTAGGAAGAGGGAGGAGAGGGAGAAATGAGGGAGGGAGGGAGAGAGATGATTGGAGGGAGGGGGAAGGTGGGGAAGCTCAGGTAAGGTGGGAGGGAAAAAGGGGGAGTGGGGAGGGAGGGAAAAGGCAGGAAGGATAATGGGTAGTTAAGAGGAAGGGAGGAGGGCGTAGTTAGGAGGGAGGGACGGGGGGGAGAGGGGGAGTTTAAGTTAGATAGGAGGGGGTTAAGGGTTAGATTAGGTTGGGATAAGAGGGAGAGGGGAAGAGGGAGGTGATTGGAAAGAAATACGTAGAGAATATATGGAAGGGAAAGGGGGGGGGAGGGAAGGGAGACGGGTATCTAGTTAATGGGGAGAGTTAGTGCAGGGACGAGGGGGGAGAGGGGGGCATGAGCTGGGTATATACAAGGAGGGGAGAGTGGGAGAAAGGGGAAAGGGATACGAAGGGAGAGATAATACCAGGGAACTAGGGATGGTACTTGGGTATGAGGGGGGGAGGAGGGTAGGGGATGCATGTTTTTTTGTTATTTTTTTAGTTAGGAATAGAGGTTAAAGGTAAGAGAATAGACGGGGGGAGAGAATGGAAAGGATAATAATAATAAAAAAGAATCGATAAGAGAGGAGAGAAACAACAAAAAACGGAGGAAATATAAAATAAAAATAACAAATTAGCACCAAAAGAGATCATTGAGTGAGCGGAAAATAATGAAAAGAGAAATAGAGAGAGATATAAAAAAATTGCCCCGGACAGAGGGAAAAGAAAGAGGAAGAGAGAGAGAGAAAAAAAAAAAGAGAATGCAAAGCTCGCCATCATATTGTATTCCCATTGATATCATATTGTCGATGTAGCATTATTAGTATCCAAATTCATTTTCTGTATCTGCATTTTCAGCACCATCGGCCTGCTTGCCTGCCCGCCTGCCTGCCTGCACCCTGCCTGCCGCCCTCCCGAGTTGCAATGATCTGAAATTTCTATAGCTGTTGCAATTAAGCTTCACTGCTGTTCTATTTATCCGGCATGGTTATATACGTTGGCTCGATGTGTTGCGCTGCGTTTCAGAATTGATTTTGCGGGATATTAGCCCCGAGCTTTATATCTCCTAATGAATCTGTGCTTGTGTCTGTGTCTGTCTGTCTGTCTGATCTTCTGCCTTTGTAGCTCTTTTTTTCTCTCTCTCTCTCCTTTGCTTGTATTAGTTGAAAAAAAAAACAAATGGATTTGATGTTGTTTTTTTTCTTTCTTTTTTATGTCTTTTTTTTTTTGTCTTTATGTCGAGCGATCTGAATTTCCCCATTTTTATTTACACTTTCTGATCTTTTATCTGACTTTCTCGATTAACATTTTTTGGGGTTACGATTTTTATTTTCCTGGGTATTTTTATTTTTCATGTGCAGTCCAAAGACAAAACGTGACTGAGATAAAGAACTCAATTTCAGATTATACGCAATGATGGCGAGTTTTCATATCCAAATTGCGAAGTGTGTGTGTGTGTGTGTGTGTGTGTGTGTGTGTGTGTGTGTGTGTGTGTGTGTGTGTGTGTGTGTGTGTGTGTGTGTGTGTGTGTGTGTGTGTGTGTGTGTGTGTGTGTGTGTGTGTGCGTGCGCGCGTGCGTGCGCGTGTGTATGTGTGTGTGTGTGTGTTGATGTCTGTGTCTGTGTATTATCCATGTATAAGTGTCAGATCTCTGGCTCTATAATACTGTATATTGAATCAATGTTCTATATGTGCTTCCGTACTTATATAGATATTAAAAAAAACATAACGTGCACACAAACAAAAATACACACAAGCAACACATGAAATGGACTAAACAAAACAACAATTAATAAGGAAAGAGTAATCAAAGCAACAGCAGATGACTCACACAAACTCAGCATGGGAAGTTGAAATTTTGTTTTAAACTTTTCTCGAATTTCATTAACAAAAGTTGTGTGCCAGATGCATGGAATTAGAAAAAAAAATAATAAATAATAGTAGCTTTAAAAAATACTGCAGGGAAGCCAGGGAAAGGTCTCTCTTATATACAACATATATATGTATGCTGCTGTAAAATCGTGGGAACAGAATGCCAGAGGATGCCACGGTCTGCGGCCTTAACTGGCACTCGCAGCGGCACGGGATTTCCCTTGACCTAGAGGGATCAAAGGTCAAACAAGGTAGGGACGATAATACCAAACTGTGTTTTTTTTTTTTTTGTTTTTTTTTTACCGAAAGTTACTTGTTTCTTCGTTCGCTTATTTGTGTAATCTGATTTTCTGTCATTCGTTTTTGTAATCTCGTTCACGCTCATATACTCGCGCATAAACACACACACACATACACACACATCCCCGCCCCACATACACATACATTCCCTCACGCAACCCCCCCCAAAAAAAAAACTCTCCCTCTCTCTGTCTGTCTCTGTCTCTGTCTCTGTCTCTGTCTCTGTCTCTCTCTCTGTATATGTATGTACATATATGTGCATATATGTACACACACACACACACACACACACACACACACACACACACACACACACACACACACACACATATATATATATATATATATATATATATATATATATATATATATATATATATATATATATATATATATATATATATTTATTTATTTATTTATTGGCCTTTCTTCAAACACTGATTCACAAGGAAAATATTTTACATATGTTGGGATTACACGAGGTGTCGATGTTAATCGCAGCGCATTTCGCATTTTAGAAATAAAAGTTATTTTCCCCGTAGCTCAACCGAGACCTTTATAACTCCGAACAGGTAAGCATCGGTGGGTTTCATCTGGCGTCTGTGTTTCCATGACAACCGGCAAACATGTAACAAACGTCGCTTGTTACCCTAGCTACTCCACGCGAGGCGATGCCCTCTGGAGACGTGTTTTCCCCGCTTATAAAGAGGCGTGGTTGCTCCGTGTATTTGTTGAGGCTTTTGCGACCGCGCGTTCTTTCCAGGAATGTGTGCGCTTGTGAGCATGATTAAGTATGAAAATGTAAGAATAACCTGAGGACCAATAGCGTGAGGGGCATGAGCTGACATACCTGTATTTATCCACCTTACTTTTACTGGACACTCATATGCCTATCTGTCTATCCATTTATCTACCTATATTCATCCACTTTACTTTTACTCGATACTCATATGCCTATCTGTCTATCCATCTATCTACCTATCTACCTATCTATCTACCAATCACGAATATAAATAAACCCCAAACGAAATTGATCTAACACTAAAAAAAATACGAACGATCACCTCTAATCTATCTCCTGTAACCCAGGATCTGAATCTCCAGAGTCAATTTAAGGGAGGATTAATCCAGTGTTATTATCAGGGGTTTGCAGTAACGCCTGGAACCAATCAGCGAGCATCACATCTTATCAGCAGGCCATTACCTTCCCAAATTAGTGATGTTCGGAAGGGGCGCTAAAACGTGTTTCTGAGACGTAATCCTGCCTTCGTTACCCAGGCGTGCCTTCCCTCCTCCCTCGTCCCCCGCCCCCTCTCTCTCTTTCTCTGTCTCTTTGTCTGTCTGTCTGTCTGATTGAATGTTTGTCTGTCTGTCTGTCTCTCTCCCTCTCTGTTTCTCTCTGTTTCTCTGTCTCTTACCTTCATATATATATATATATATATATATATATATATATATATATATATATATATATATATATATATATATATATATATAGAGAGAGAGAGAGAGAGAGAGAGAGAGAGAGAGAGAGAGAGAGAGAGAGGGAGAGAGAGAGAGAGAGAGAGAGTGAGTAAATGTATATGTATACGTATACGTATACGTATACGTATACGTATTTGTATACGTATATGTATATATATATATATGTATATGTATATGTATACGTATATGTGTACGTATACGTATATGTATACATATATGTATACGTATACATATATGTATACGTATATGTATATGTATATGTATATGTGTATGTATATGTATATGTATATGTATATGTATATGTATATGTATATGTATATGTATATGTATATGTATATGTATATGTATACGTATACGTATACGTATACGTATACATATACGTATACGTATACGTATACGTATACGTATACGCATACGCATACGCAT